TACAAGCTTTCAAGGGGGAACCTAGTGCTAGGGAGCATGGAGGAAGGCAGAATCTCCAGTGGGTACCATTCAATCTGTCTGGGCAGAGCGGATGAAAGGAAATACAGATGGGTAACTCGTGATACTGTAGTGAATAATGTTTATCAGGACGGATTATGAGGGTTGAAAGTGCAAAGGTAGACATTTTAGAACAAGGAAGGGAGTGATTAACTCTACAGGCTAAGAGCGGAGCTATCTGGGACCATCAACAGAGAAGAGCCGAGAGCGGGACCCCACCCAGAGAAACAGAGATGCCCGAGATGGAGACAGAGACGATGACTGATGTGGAGCAATGAAGCGGCTGGGGACCTTGGGTCCAGAGAGGGAAAGGGACTGTGGGCCGAAAACTGGGGGCTGGGGGTGGGAAGGGGAAGTGCAGGGGGCAGGCCTCTAAGACACACCCTCTGGCTGGTTGATGATGCATGGAGGGGACTGGAACCATGGCAATGCGATGACATATGATGGAATGAATGCAAAACCAAAGCTCTCCCATGCAAACTACCATATGATCCACAATAAAACATCAAAAAAAAAAAAAAAAAAGACAAATTCCACAATCTCACTAGGTTAGGACTTGTCAGTAATCAAAAAGGAAATTGTAATCAGGCATTTCTGGGTCCCAAGTGTATCAATCCCATAAGAATGTTTTTACCCAAGAAAAAAACTAATATAAACACAGCCTTGGATTTATAGAATCGTTGGGAAGAAATGAGAAGGAGCCTAGGACACAGTTTCGGTGGGGAGGCAGAAGTCACTAACACTTGGGTATGGAAAAGAAAACAAAACACAGGAGGTGGAAAGGAAGGTATTGGCCTCATACTGGGGAGGGCTGGGTAGAGGGCCCTAGGAAGGAAAATGTGTCTCCTTGTGAAGAGAGCCCACTACGGCAGCTCAGCTCAGATTCACCAGCTTGGAATTCACCATCCGTAACATTGTCAACCAGGAGCCTGTCATTCCAACACCCTAAGTTTTCACAAGTGGGTTCTCTAAACCAGACCACCAACTTCACCCTTATCATAAGATAACATTCTGGGATGTCCTGCATGGAGAGCTGATACTTTCACTTTGTGTCAAGCAGAACACATTCAGGGGTGATACATGTTTCAGGTCTCGAAAGTGATCAATTTCAATATTATTAGAATGCCTGTAGCAGCCCTTTGGAATGTAAAACACCAACTTTTCATTGTAAGTGATGCCAAGTAGGTGCCATCCCTGAAATACATTTTCCTGAAAGATACCTCAGGGGCCAGCGTGCTTTCTTCAGGAGAAGAAAACATCAACAGGTCCTCTGTTCACTCAAGATTTCAAGACACAACAGGTGGTAGAGCCCAAAAGATTTGAAAGGGCTTTTTCATGCAGATGAAACTCTTAGAGGCCATCTGGTGTGGTGCTGTAGGATTAGCACAGGACTGTGAACCACAAGGTCTACAATTTAAACCCACCCAGCAGCTGCTCCTCAGAAACCCATACAGGGTCACTATGAGCCAGAACTAACTCAGCGGCATTAACAACAAACTGAGAGGGAACTGAAAATTAAATTTTAACTGCTACTGGCTTAAGACTGGATGTTCAGAAGAAAGTTGTTCTGTCCTTACCACCAAACGCTGGCCTGATGAAATCTCATCTGAAGATGGCTGACCTAGAGTTCATCCCCTAGATATGACCCTAAACCTCTCTCGCTCACCACTTGTTGTAAGGATTCCAACAAACATCCACACCGATGAAAGACTGGGCGCAGGGCTGGTGCGGCCTCCCACATATGTGTCCCAATGCACCCTCACTTGGGTGGAGAGCAGACTCCTGTCTTTGGTGAGTATGACACACTGTCCCCTTTACACACATCACTGGATCAGCTGCACGGCCAGGCTGAGTCTAGAAGAAAGCGTGCGGATTCTCCGTGGGCTGAAACCCCTTCGCCTACAAGTCCTCCTCCTGAGCCTTTATAGCAAGGTCTGTGTCGAGCAGTCACTGTGTGGAAGGCATCTCCATCGTGACCAAGTCCGGGCCACCAAACAGCCGACTCTAGAGTCCTGAGAGGCCTGCCCCTCCCCGCTCAGTGCTAGGGGACACACATAGAAATGAAGGCCTCCCTCACCTCTACTAATCCCCACTCTGGACTTCAGGTTCCGGGCCATGGGAGCTCTGGATGCAGAGATGACTTCCCGTGGGACAGTGAGACGCTGCATGCCACAGAGAGAGATCTGTGCTCTCCAGCTTTCAATCTATCAAGTTCTTCTGGTTCACAGAGCACTTCCCAAGTTGGCTCCAGTGAAGTCTCGGCCCTGGAGAATTTCCATGGAGGTGATGCTGCCATTCTATCTCTGCCACGTGGTTGGCTTGGTCGGATTATCATCCACCCTAAACACCAGCATGGGTCCAAATATGTGGTTCTTTTATTGATGCGGTCGACAAAAAAACACTTGTCTGTTCTCATCAGTTTCTTGTTCCTATCCGTATGGCAAGTCTCCTGCAACTCATTTTCTTTTTCCAGTTTTCGGATGTTCCCACTGAGTTTTCTCCTCAGTGTGATTGGCATAGTAAACCCAACTGCCCTTGGTGGTTCTCTCCTCCCAGCCCGAAGGCAGCTCGTCCTCAACCTTCAACCCGTGTCATCCAGGCCTGCGTATAGCAGAGCTGCCATGGCCTGCTGTCTTGGTCACCCGCTGCCGCTGCCGGGTCTCTCCCCCCAAAACTCCAGCTTGAAAGAGCGCCAGCGCGCGTCTTCCAACCGGCCCCTGGCACCTGCCCAGGTTTATTTTTAAATATCAAGAAGATTGCATTATCAACAGTTTTAAAAGGTTAGAACAGTTAAGTTCTGAGCATGTTATCAAAATTTTGGTGTAATGCTGATAAACAAGATGGATCATATCAGAGAAATGTGAAGTGATTAAAATTAGTTAATGTTGGAAGGGGATTAGAAGGATTTTGGAATACCAGTAGAGACCAATTTTGTTTACTCATTATTGAGGCTCTGGGAATATAAAAAACACTTATTTGTAAGGGTTTTACATGCCTTGTTTCATTGATGGTCTCAATTTTATGGTAGGAGGGATTCTAAAAAAAAGGTCTATGTGGTTGAATAAACATTCTGACTACCCAAACTTTAGTCCATTGGGATGTCACCTAGGACTTGAGAAGATGAATTTACTCCTAGTTTCCATGAGATTCAAAAGGATTTTTTTAATGAAGATGCCTGCCGATGTGTTCCATTTGCATGAAGAAAGCAGTTAATTCACTTGACTTTTCATGCAATGTTTTCTTCAACATTTCCCTCCACCAAGTACTCAGTAAACGGGGGGGGAAATAGCAAGCAGTACATGTAGTGTTTTTATTATGAGAGAATTTATGTCTAATTGATTGAGTCTGAATGACTCACTGTGTTCTCCCTTTGTAGATATGGGATCCCTAGAGGATCTTTATGAAATTGAGTAATTTTGTATGACAAGAACATCTTTTAAGACCATAATGATTTGTAAATTAACTTAATTGCTGTATATAATGTTACTTCTCTTTCTCTAGATTTTAGTACCAATTCTTTGTAATAAGAGCAACCATAAATCCTGGTCCTGTTTCATTTCACAAGATATGGAATGTCACATAGAAGTCATGAAATATAAAATACACATGTTTAGGGGCAAAATAACAGGAAGAACTCTCCTACCTATTCCCTCGATTGCAAGAAAGATTGGCATGGATCTGAATTATCCAGAAACCAAGTAGGTAACCATGAATGCCATCTATAAACCTGACTTAAAGCAGTTGCCACGGGGTCCGTGTGCAGAATAGAACTGCACTCTCTATGCTGTGACTTTTGAAGTAACTCCCCACTCCCTTTTTCTGAGGTGACTGCCTCAGAACTGCCTAAGCAACTGCTTAGCTGCTTTTGTCACACAGGGACTCTGGATAGGACATATTCAAAGCGTTGAAATGGGGAGCCAGCATACCTGTTTGCTTTCACACACCCTGAGCAAACTGTTTGGAGAATAGAGAATTGGTATAACTTATGCTTTTAAATTAATGTGTAGAAATACTGCATGTATTATTTCTTTCAAAGTAAGCTTTTGCAAGGCAAGCTGTAACAATTGTTATGATGTCAAATGATAGTATTCCGTTAATAAGACAGTTTTGAGGATATGATATATATATTTTACATATATATGTAAATAACAATAACAATAGTATATGGCCACAACGCAAATCAAGTAATACCAGTAATGGATATCTGATTGTAAAATGTTTGTCCTGGTATGACACTGTAGGATAGGTACTTACTAACTGCATGATAGGCAGTTCAGACCCACCAGACACTCCTCAGAAACCCTGTACAGGTCACTATGAGTTGGAACTGATTAGATAGCACTTACAGCTTAATACTTTAGTTTGTGGATACATAAAAGACCTATGACCTTTGAACTACTTAAAAAAATTATTTCAATGTTTGTAGGCTAGAGGCGAACGAAAGAATAATACTCCATGCAATTGAATCTGTTATTATTAAATGGTCACATCAAATTCAAGAAATTGTAGAGAAAAATTCTGCACAGCCTTTGCTAAATGGTCTTCACTTGACTCCTCAAGCTGAGCTAAATTTCTGGAAGATGAGGAGAGAGAATCTATCAAACATATATGATCAAGTAAGTAGGTAGCTCTAGACCTTGCTTCCTAATTGAATTGCAAACTAAAAGCAATGATTTCCTGTGTGTGGTTTTTTTCTTGGATAATATTTTAACAGTGCTTGAATTCATTGAAAACACTTTGGCATATTGGGAATGGGGAAATACTGAACATTTTAAGACCTAATTAATATGGTCGGTTTCATTGATTTAGTCTTGCCTAGTTAAGAGATGCAGCTTTGGAAGAGCTAGCTTTGCTACCTCTGCTGGTACTTGGCTGTCTTAAAAACCGAGAGTTCGTTCCTATGTCTTAGAGAGTTTTTCTGAAACATAGCAAACATTTTTATAGGGAAAGTAAGTATTTTCATATATATTAATATATAAATTGCCTGTGAGTTTTTTGAAATTTCAAATTAAGAAAACTAAATGCAAAATAAATGTTTAAGAAAAATGTGTTTAAAAAAATTTTTTTCAACCTGAAATCAGCTATGCCTTCAAGTGTTACTGTATATATTGTGCATGATTGGAATGTCATGTAAATATTTTATTACAGATTGTATTTATTTAGCATTTAATCAATATTATAATTTTTTATCTTTAGCTCCAGACTCCTATTGTTTTTGAAATGGTTAAGATCCTGAAAATGAAACAAAGCAGCTACTTTCCAACTTTGAAAGACATTTTCACAACTGTGGAAAATGGTGAGCCTTCTTCCTTGACATCACTGTTCCCCATGATCTGGTTCCTGCCTGTTCAGCCTCATCCTGTCTTCTGCCATTAGCATGCTTATGAAATGACTGCACTTGGTTCTTCTAATGATAAATTCATCTCACCCTTTATACTTTAACCTCCAGCTATACTAACCTGTTTTCAGTTTATCTGCTATATAATGGGTTGTTGTTTTTGGTAAGTGTCATTGAGTTGGTTCTGACTCCTAACAACCCTGTATAGGGTTTTTGAGGCATGGCTAGTAAGCTTCAACAGTTAACTTGCAGTTTAAACCAACCTTGCAGTCCAGTGCATTTACCCGCAGTGCCATACCAAACATTTGGTTCCAGATTAAAGTTGTTTATATAGATATAGATATAGATATAGATATAGACATACATTCATACTTATGTGCATATCTGTGTGTGTATATATGTATATACATAAGCATGCATTTATACACACATATACACAAACAAAGTGGGAGTCTTGGTGTGGTGCTGTAGGGTAAGCACTGGACTTCGAACCATAAGGTTGGTGGTTCAAACCCACCAGCTGCTCCTCTGAAACCCTATTCAGGGTTGCTATGAGTTGGAACCGATTCAGCAGTACTTAACAATATAACAAAGTTTGCTATTTTAACCATTTTCAAGTACTCATTTCAGTGACACTAGTTATATTGACAGCGTTGTATGTTGTTGTTGTTAAGTGCTGTTGAGTCAATCCCAACCCATAGTGACCTTGTATAGTGTGTCCTAGGAGCAGTTGGTAGGTTTGAACTACCAACATTGTGGTTCAAATACAGTGCTGATCCTACAGTGCCACACCAGGAGTTCCAATGTTGTATGTTGTTGTTGTTAAGTGCCATCGAGTCGGTTCTGACCCATAGCGACCCTGTACAGGGTTTCTGAGGGTGTAAATCTTATCGGGAGTAGAAAGCCTCATCTTTCTCCCGCGGAGCGGCTGGTAGTTTCGAACCGCTGGCTTTAAGGTTCCCAGCCCGATTCGTAACCACTACGCTACCAGAGCTCCTTGGTTGTATAACCACTATTTATTTTCAAAACTTTACATCACCCCAAACAGAAATTCTATACTCATTATGCAATAACTCCTTATTCCCTGTCCCTGGCAACCACTAATCCACTTTCCATCTCTCTGCATTTGCCTTTCTATATATTTCATACATGCAGAATCATACAATATTTGTCCTTTTGTGTGTGACTTATTTCATAATGTTTTCAGAGTTCATTCATGTTGTAGCAGGTAGCAGAATGCCATTTCTTTTTATGGTTGTTTAGTATTCCATGCCACTTTTGGTTTGTCTGTTCTTCTATTGGACATTTGGGCTATTTCTTTCTATCTTTTGGCTCTAGATTGAAATTTCAATTAATATGTTTGTGTGGAGAAGGGCAGTGTCTGGTATTTAGCAGAAGCTAAATGAAAACCCTGGATAGAGGTTTTGTATTCAACAGTTAGACTATGATTCTCCCTGTTAGTCACCAGTAGAATCTGTGGATGTAGAATCTGGGATGTTAGTTATTTAGCTTGATAAGAACTCAGAGCTTATAAAGATGTTGAAGTTTTAGGTAAAGAGTAAGCATATAAAGTGGAACATGAGTTTTCTTTTGAATAGTAATGCATGCACATTATTAAATACCAGAGATTATAAAAAAGTGTCCTAGTGTGGTGCTGTAGGAGAAGTACTGGAGGGCTTAATGAAAGGTTGGTGGTTCAAACCTACCTGCCACACCTTGGAAACCCTATGCCGACCTTGTGGCTAGCAGTCCTTTGCATATCCTACAGTGCTACACCAAGTATTGATGAAAATGTACTCATTTCAACCAAATTTTCTTAAGGGAGAAATTGTACCTGGACCCTCTTTTTCTTCACAGGGCTTTGTTGGTAGTGGTGGTGATGTGCCATGGAGTTGGTTCCGACTCATGGTGACCCCGTACACGGTTTTCCGAGGCTGTAAATCTTTATGGGAGCAAAAAGCCTCATCTTTCTCCCGCAGGACAGCTGGTAGTTTTGAACTGCTGACCTTGAGGTTGGCATCCCGACTCATAAACACTATGCTACCAGAGCTCCTTTATTGTTAGGTGTGCACATTATTTGGTTAGTGTAAACAATGACAACAAACCGTTCCTCCCACAACCCTCTTTACTCCTCCTTTGGGTTCAGTAGTTCATTGAAATGATCACACAGAACTCAGACACCATATTCACTATTATGGGGTTTATTAGGGAAGTTAACTGAAATTACAGTTCAAGGTCAGAAATGTTCAGGGCATAGTTCTTCCAGTCAGGACAGCCTCTCCTAAGCTGTGCCCACAAGCAGGCCTCTCTCAGCCTGGCAGGGTTACAAAGCCTATTTAGGACTACTGATAAATGTTCACAGGGCACACCTCATATAAATGCTCATGTAAGTCTCAGCCCAAAGGCACTCAGCTATAGCTCCGTGGGTCATCAAATCCCACTCCACAAGTGAGTTTCCTGCCCAAAGGCTCTCAGCTTTAACCTGCTCTGTGGGTCAGGATGGCCACTGTATGCTGCTCTGTGGGTCAGGATGGCC